GTGGGGTAACATCCTCTCTTTGCTTGCATCTGAAGAAGTGAGGTTCTTACCCACGAAAGCTTATGCTCCCAATACTTCTGTTAGTCTCAAAGGTGCCACAGGACCCTCTGTTGCTTTTTACAGATTCAGACTAACACGGCTACCCCTCTGATACTATAAACAACTATTTACAAGACCCTAAGGCTTGAAGTCAGAAGAAATGAAGCCGCTAGCCCTTGCTATGTAAGGAAAGGCGCTCCGACTAACCACCACGGGCGGTAAGAAGGAACTGAGAGCTGGTGGTGCCTGATATACAGACACACGAGTGCGGCACTCAAGGGGTGGGCCAGCTGGCCCCATGGATACTGCTAAAGCAAAAATCTTCAACAACCATGCACGTGAGAGCACACACAACTAAAATAGAATTGACACGAGCAAGCACAAAGAAGCAGCAAGCAAGAAGAAGAAAACTTTTATATGTGGTACAGCACTCCAGAAGCACTAAAGAGGTCTACATTCTAACTATGAACAGTCTCAATAGAATGCATATTTCTATTCAGAATGTTAGAGAAATATGGTTTTGAGGGACACTTGCAGAAGTGGAACAAAACAATCTATAAAAATCCTATGACATGCACCTGGGGAAAAATACTGAGCCAATACCATTACACAGAATAAGAGAGGATGTCCCTTACACCCTTCTTACGTGATTTAATTATCAAAGCACTAGCCCAAAATTTCAGGGACACATGTTCAAGGAATAAGTGTATAGATAGAATAGAAAACAGTTTCATTATATGCTGATGACCTTATGCTTGTTATGCAAGTTATAAATAAAAATTGGCTAGTATAAAAGAAATAACTGAAGCTTTTGGTCAGGAATTGGGGTACAGCCTAAACTACTCTAAAGCCTAGTCTACACTAGAAAATGAAGTTGGTTTAAATACACCACTCAAGGGTATGAAAAATCCACCTCCTTTAGCAGCATAGTTAAACCAACCCCACCACCAGTGTAGACAGCACTAGGTTGATGGAGGAACTCTTCCATTGACCTAGCTACTGCCTCTTGCGTTAATTACACCAACAGAACCACCCCTCCCGTTGGTGTAGGTAGTGTCCACACTGAAGCACTACAGCAGCACAGCTGCAGCATTTCAAGAGTAGACAAGCCTTTAATACTATGTCTTGCATCCAAAAGAGTCTTAAAAGATTACAAATGCTCAACAAAAGTAGTGGATAATAAAATTAGATACTTGGACATTGACATAAGACCTAAATGGGGAAGTTGTTTAAATTAAATATTGAGCCCCAGTAATGAAAATTATTTGCAATGATCGAAGCAGGAGGAGATTATTACTTATTGATATTGTCAAAAAAGGGATAAAAACGAATAAAAGTATTGGTCTACTTTAGATAGGAAAACAATACAACAGAAATACTGAAGTAATCAAGATGTTTTTATATGAACACAATAATCTTGTACTTACAGGAACAATAAATAGTCAAGAAGGGCATACACGTAGGACAATAACTGACTTACATTCCCAATCCCACCTCTAACTTTCCATATTTCCTAGCTTCCCCTTCATCCCTGGAAAATAGTCAGCTTCCCAATAAAGGTTTTAAAAATTAATATGAATGATTAAATATACATATATCATGTTACAGTTGCATTTATATCATTTGAAAGAAGGGGAAAGGGGAATGATATAAACAGGTACAATTAATATGCAACATGCTGTTAAATATTGTTAATTTTGTTTGACATTGTAACTGAAGTATGTGATGGGGTGTACCTGGCCTATGCAGCTCCCTACGGGAGGCCCAAAAGTCCTACTACACCCCTCCCCACGAAGCAGCAAAATGACAGGAAAGGAGCAATGAAAGTGAGTTCTCCAGGAATGTCTAAAGAGACCTCACAGAAGCATGCAATCGAAGCCCAGCAGGGAGCTGCAGGGTTTCAGCAGGTCAGTTCGTCGCTAGGACCAGAGGGGTGAGGAAGGGAGTGCCTTTCTGGTCAAAGCTGTATGGGGGATAGCTAGAGTTTAGTTCTTGCTGTGTTTGCTTAAGCTAGGTTTGCAGAGAGAGAGAGAGAGGACCCAAGAACATTAACCCTGATATAAGGGTGAAACTAAAAGGGGCCAGGTAGGAACAGGCCCAGAGATGAAGCACCAACGAACTGAAAATCAAGCAGGGTGCAGCTGCTGTTTATAATGTCCGGGGGTTGGAATCCAGAGTAGTAAACAGGCCTGGATTCCCCCACCAGCCATAGTGGCATAAACCCCAAGAAGGGGACAGGAAGTTATTTGAGAGCCCGAACAAGACTGAATTAAATGGGCCCAGAGCACAGGCTGAAGACACTAGTGAGGACAACAGGACTGTTCATTTATTGGACTCTCTACTATCCTAGAAGGGGTTCATTTGGATGTTGTGACTTGGTTGGAGGGCCGAGCCATTGAAGATCCACCAGCATTGACTGGCAGTCTGGAGGGAGAGCAGAGTGCGAGAGACTGCAGAACCAAACCCATCTGCTAGGATGCACTCAAGAGGTGAGTACTCCCATTACAGTAAAACATTTTGTAAGTGACTTGAAATATCAAACACAAAAACGTAAAAAGGAAAAAGGATCTGCACACACCCGTCACACCTCAGAGATTCCTGCAGTGACTCTCCAAAGCCTATGGAGAAATGGAGGGTAATATGGGTTGGCCTGGTGTACATGTACAACCCATCCACAGGGCCCAAACCAAATTTGGGGGATGATGGAAGAAGCAGGTTTGGCCCATTCCTCCCTCAAATACTCTGTATTTAGTGGCTGTGGCCTAGTTGCATGTGCACTCTGGGCAACTGGGGCAGAGGATTTAATCCTTCAGCTTTGCAATTATTTTCAGGAGAGCAAATTGTTTGCTTTTACTCAGACTTTGCTCCATTTTCTAGCATTAGGTCTGGTAACAATAATATTTATGATACCTTTGAACAAAGGACACCCAAATGCTTTACAAACATTTGCTTTGTGTGTGTCTCTTACAGACTGCATGCACCTCAGGGCCTGAAGGGAACCATGTCTTCAGTCAACCCTGGCACTTCAACAGCACACTCCTGCATGTATTTCTTACATGAATGAAAGCATGATTATACCAAAGACTGTAAAAGAAGGAAGTGCATTAGCAGTTGCATGAAGTTATTAAGGTTTTTCCAGAAGCAGGTAACGTTACAGAAGTTACATATGACTCACTGGAAGAGGAAATAGCAGCAATAGTGCCACAGAATTTAGGCTAAGTCTGCCCAGAAGTACATGGCGCCTCACCTAAAGACGACATAGTATGGCTCCTACATTTGATTTTTGGCAAACATTTCTGTACTATTTTGTTAACTATTTTACTTTATTATATGTTGCTACCTTGATATCTGACAAAGTGAACAAGATAAAATAAAGAGCCTCAAATAGATGCTTAAATTTAAAAAATAAATTACTTTTTCTTGGTCCAAAAACAACATATAGAAGATTAACTGGAATTTAAAATAAAATCCTTTCCAGGCTGAGACCTTAAAGGTAAAATCTCAGCCAAGACTAGACTTTTATGACAAATCAACTAGCCCTTGAAACTAGATGTTTATAAAAGAAGCAAGACAACAAGCTCAGACCTACAACTATAATGGAACAGCTGATTGGTTGGATCATCAATTAAATTAACACCATTATAAGAATCTCAAACAAAAAGAGCAGATATTTATTTGTGCCTTTATAACAAGTATTTCCAAGTAGCAACAGGATACCATAGGGAGCGTATTTCTGAGCAATTACTTCAGTTCTCAACTCGCTGAAGTAATTTGGCCTTCAAACTCACAATAAGCCTAAGGCTGCAATAATCCTTCAGAAACGTACTTCTCATGCCTTAGTATTTAATTCAAATTAACTGTTTTGTAGCGCTGCCATTTCATCGATTCTGTTGCAAGGACAAATGAAGTCTATAAATAATTTCTAAACTAAGCAAATATAACAGCTTGTTTATATATAAGCCAGGAGGATACGGAAAAATGCTATCTTAATAACTAAAATCATTGAGAGCTTGAATTAACTTTTTATTTTTAATTCAAAGAATTAACGGTTCACTAAGCCCTGCACTATGGGTGAAACCCTGGCCTTGTTGAAGTCAATGACAAAAATCCCATGGCCTTCAAGAGGGCCGAGATTTCACCCTAGGCATTTCCTAGATAATCAACATATAGTTAGGCTGGTACTGAAGTGAGTCACGACACTTCTGCTAAGAACAGCAGACGTCTTTCTTCCCACTCACTTTAGCCTACCACAGCAATAATGTCAGAAATATATACAGCCAGAGATATTAAGAAATTGCAGGCTTATGCTAATACATATTATTAATGTTTGTATTGTAGTAGCACCTAGAAGCCCCAATCAGGAATCAAGCCCTGTTGTGCTAGACTCTTTACACCCATATAATAAAAAGACCATCTTCCACCCCAATATAAATGGAAATATGTCAAACTTACCAAAGTCTGATGAACTCATCTGTACTAGGTTTTCCAATTTGTTTATCTGTTGCCTAATTAAAAAGATACCACAAAACTATGTATTATAGAGTTAAAGGATATTTCACAAACATTTATTTTATAGTGCTGTAAATGTATAGAATGTTTTTCAAAACACGAAATAAGAAACAGTCTCTTCCTAGAAAAGCTTACAAGAGCATAAACTGGGCATCAGGTCACTCAGGAGAGACTACAGAGACATCAAATAGGAGGGATCATCATAAGGAAAATGCAATGCTGTTCCAAGCATGGCAGGGAGGGCACCAAGAAAAAATAATGGCTAAAGCAAGAAGTGTATAGGGCTGGAGCAGGCAGACATGAGAATAGAGATGTAGAAGGGGCAAGACTGGGCAGGATTCTGAAAGTGAAGAATTTGATATGGAAAAAGACAATCTACTGAAGGGATTTTGGGGGAAAATATATGAATGGAGTGGCAGAAGACGACTTTAGCAGCATTTATAACAAACTAGAGAAGTCAGATAAGAGAAAGCCAAAAAAAGGATCAGACAAGAGATAAGCAAGGTGTAGCTTAAGTGATTTATTTAGATTCATAAAATGTACTAGTCAGTCTCTTAATTTGTGTCCAAAAGTAAACAACTACAAAGTCAGTTCAACAGACTCTCCTCTTATCATCTATCCCCAAACACTCAACACCCCCATCTTGCCCCCAATATAAATTTGGGAGAACAGACAAGTCATGCAGCCCACACTTAAGGCCACCAATTCCAAGCTCTGGTAAACAAGTGGGGCAGAAATGATTTACAGAATAGAAGACCCCCATGGAGATTGATTGCCCAGCCAGCAGCCCCCTCATTATATAAAGTAGGGTGATGACTATTATTAATTTGGGGTACTTTAATTAATAATAACAGCCACAGTATTGGGTAAGGGGAGATTGTCTCTAAAGTAGGAAGAGCTCAATAATTCATGGTTTTTGTAGGTGAAAGCCAACAACTTCACTTAGAAATGTGTTTGACAGCCACTGCAAATCACAGCACACAGGTGCAACGTAACCCAACAGGAAGTGCCAACTAATAATAATGCCGCTACATTCTGCACTAACTGTAATTTTCAGATTGCTTTCAAGTGTAGCCCCCATGTAGAGTGTATGGCAGTAATTTGGATGTGAGAAAGGCATACATAACCATGGTGAGGTCACGAAAGAAAAGGCTGCATCCTTTTTGTCAAGCGCAAATTTTAAAAACCCTATGAAATCTCCAGCTATCCTGCAAGAATCCAATAAGCCCCAGTTGGATGCCTGTACAAGGAGAGTTGAGAATACTCCTATAAGTGGAGACACCAAAATAAGTTCCACCATTCTTTCCCCACATTGTACAAAAGCCACTTCAGTCATTTGGGTTGAGCTTCAGCCAGCTATATCTCATCCACACTACAAACTCTATTAGACACTGGATAAGTTTTTTTCAACCACATCCATTGTGTGGGAAAAGATGGAAGAACTTGGTGATTTCAACATAGAGGAGTACCAGAGTTGAAAGTTAGATAAGTGGAGAGAGCAGGAAGCATAGGAGTCAAATATAAAGTAATAGTTTAAAAAAGAAATCATTAAATCAATATAGTGCAGAGAAGGAGTGAGCCCAGGGGGGCGGAAGGGGAGGAGAGGAGTCAATTAGACTCAGGCTTTGTCTACACTAGCAGTTTTGATGGCAAAACTTTTGTCGGTCAGGGATGTGGGAGGGGGGAAAAAAAAAACCCACCGTGACTGACATACGTTTCACTGACAAAAGTCCCACCGAAATACACCCAATAAACGGTGGTAGCTGTTTTAATTATGCTGGTGGGAGAGCTCTCTCCCTCCTGCATAAAGCGGCTACACAGGAGACCTTAAAGTGGTGCAGGTGCAGTGGTACAGCTGCGCCACTGTAAGGTCTGTAGTGTAGACATAGCCTCAGGTCACAAAAAAAGAAAGCAATGGAGTATTGGTGAAGGAGAACAAATGGTATTGGGAGAGATAAAGACCGCTGTTTGGGAAAATGTAAAGAGAGTGAGAGAGATTCTAATTGGGAGTTGGTGGAGACATCAACGAACAGAAATAAAGAATAATTATATTGCCTTGATTAATAGAGTATATTTCATCCAGAAAGATAAGTGCTTTACACTTCAGCTACAAAATCCGTACAAGGCTCACTTCACCCACAACTGAAATAATCTTTGATGTGGAATTTGGAATCACCTTACCACTAAACAAATCTTTAGGGCAGGATGGAATGAACACAGCCATATCCAACACTAAACACAAGGGTAATGTATCTAGCAAAATGTAATTACCAAAATTGGATTTGGGCCAGGACACCAGTGTTTAATGACTGTATTCTTATAAAAAGCTCAAGAGGAAGTTTCCTGGCCACAAATATTCAGGAACTCAGTTTTATATCTCATTTGAAAGATACGTTCAATTTTTTTTATACGCACAATAAACATACAGAATACAATTTTAAGCAAATGTTATTAGTGAAAATAACTGGCTAAGCAGAGTTCACATATTAGAGCCCCATTCCCTACAAAACTGCCTCTGTAAGTGAAGAGTTAGCTAAAGCTATGCATACCTTGTGGGCTCAGATGCCACACAAGCTCTATTCTATGCTGAAGAAATGCTTCCTCATCAGAAGCAGCCTTAGAAGGCCACCTAGCCCTGCTGCTTTCCCCAGGGCGAACTCTGTGACTCCACCAGCCTGATTGCTATATATGACAATTGGAGTCTAGAGAATGACACCGGTGATGGCAATTAATGTGCTTAGTGCCTCCCTACCATCCTACAAGATAATCTGAGTCTAGAGAGCAGGGCTTTGTGAGGGGTTAGGAAGATCAGTTACATGGATAGAAAACACTCCTGTGACCAAACAGGATCAATTTTTGGCACAAAATGAATCAGATAGAATGATGAAAAGGGATACACAGAAATTCAATTAACTAATCAAAACCATTAACGAGCTATCCTGCCATCTTTTTTTCTATGTGGGAAAAAACCCACAGTTAAGTCAAAGCTTATATCAAAGAAGCAGAGCCAATGTATTTTTTAAAAATCATTTCTCCCACATTTTTCAGGATCTGTGCCATTATGTTACAAAGACCAGACCCTATTAATGACATGTTCCATGACATGCCCATGGTCATACCCTCAAGGTACAGTAGAATTCACTGTAATCAAAGGAGTGATGGGATGTATGACAGATGTTTGAAGTATCATACAAAAAAACCCAGTCCACCCTCCATGTGCTTTACATCCTGAGGATTAACAGTAGCAAAGAGGATTATCAATGATCTGTATGTTTGCACTGACCAGATTAAACATGTGCACTGAATAAGTCAAATACAGAGTAACTGTATCCAAAGAGATTGCTGACACTATCCTAATCCAAACAAGTGAAGAAAATGCCTCGTCCAACATTTACAGTATTTGATTTATAGCATCCACGTTTGTTTATGTGCACATACAAAAAAGTTCATTTAGTCTATTTAATTAAAGCAAAACCTGGTACAGTTTAGGGATGGACTCTGAAACCAGACAAGTATTACTGTACATTATGAATTAAGCATAAAATTGTTGCAATACATATATTTCTTCTCGTGCGCCATGCTGCTGTAGAAATTCAACATCCAGTCACATTACACTCCAATTCTAATGCATAGTTCACTAGTGTATAGTTCATCAATTTTAGTTACTCTACCAGTAAGTCACCTGCCACTCACTGGATTGCACTGCTCACATAATATCATGTTTACTACACTTTAAGATATTTTGTCTATGGCTTTCATATGTAGAAACCCCCGAAGTTTATTAAGCAACACAGTATAATTAAATCTTGGAAATGGGCCAATGAGGTAATAAGAATATCATACCTAAGTAAACCAAAGAGAAGTCTACAGGACTCAACTAACGCAATTTCAGTAACCCAATGAAAGCCAAATATTTCCACTGTATCTTCTTCATAGTCAGTTGGAGAAGGATCCAGTCTCAGCAAAAGCCTGAAAAAGAAAGCAAGCACCATTCACAGATTCTTCTATATTATAAAGGATACAGTACTTACAGATGACTTGTGTATCAGTGTTATTTTATCAATATATCTGTAGTGTACATGCTATAGACCAGAAGTTCCAACAATGTTCTCTAAGGAAAGGCTGTTAAACCTTTTATAAGGATACAATATCTAGCATATAAAATATGGCTCCTAGCTCCAACAGCATAAAAGCATCTCTCGGTCATAAACTACAATAAATTTTAGACACAAAGAAAAACTAGCCCATCATTCTAAAGCATCTTTCACCCTTACAGCGGAGCCTGCTTGAGGCACGATATACAGTTTGTTTTTAATACGACGAAGGAGACTGCTACATTACCTAAAGCGCTCCACTGCAATGTATGTCACAGTTGAAATACTGATCCACCTGAATGGTCCAGCATGTCTAATAATTATCTCTAGAATGAGCATTTATTCTTCTATGTGGACTTACTAGTACTTATAAGTAACCCTTTGGACATAGATACAGAACATAACCTTCAACAGCTGAAATAATCACATCCACACAGTTTGTGGTTTCATAATAAATTACTCTAACTCTAGACCAAGAAAATAATTTTATCTTAACACTCAAGTGCTCTACAGACTTCAGGGTTTACCTCAGCCACCTATTGTCGATTCTGCATCATTACTGCACACAGCTTAAAGAAAAGCAAGAAACAGCATTTCTAGTTTAACTGTAAAGAAAACATAGTGACACTATGTTTGGCTACATAGTTCAGTACTCAGAGGGAAAGGCAGCACCTACTAAGTTACCAGTGCTACTTCCTGCAACACCTATATACTTCTAGGTGAGGACCAAAACACTATTTATTTATGAGATGTGAGCCAATCACAGCCTAGGATAGTATGATTATTATTTGTATTACCATTGTGCCAAGCAGCCCAGTTGTTCTAGGTACTGAATACCTTGATCAGTGTTCCTAAGAACTTACAGTCTAACTAGACAAGGCAGAGAAAGAAATTATCATCCTCATTTTACAAATGGGGAATAGATGGGAAAATAAAGATGAAGTGATTTGCCCAAGGCCACACAAGAAGTCTGTGGCAGAGCTAGGAATTGAATATTTTAATCATAAACTCAAAAACCTGAGTATTTTAATCATAAAACCGCTCTTCTTCCCTGGTATGAGTGGCAGGCTTGTATGAGGGACACAAAGAAGCAACTGAAACATTCCAAAAGTATAACATACTTTATATTCAATATAAACATACCTCTTAAGAGACCCACTTGCTAGATGAGACTCTACAGAAAAGTTTCTCCCTCCATCTCGATTGTCTAAAGCACAGGAAAAACAAGGGGGGCTGGAGTTCTCCTTTTCCACTTCCATAGCCATCTCTAAGCTTTCAGTGAGGTATGGGGGTGTGAGGGAAATAGTGAAGTCATCATCCATTGTTTACACTTTTTCCTGAAAATATATTTTAAAAACCAAATAAAACTTAGTTTTCTGAAAATGGGTTTCTTATAGCTACATTTTCCCTACTGAATGAAAAAAGGTAATTGAGTTAAAGACTCCCCTGTTATCCATGACCTACAATAAAAGAGCACTGCAGCTAAAGTGCATGCTAAATAGCAATAAATCTGCAGACTGAATCACTGCTCCAATATTAATTATGCAACTATGTAACTCGCATGTTGATAAAGTGAGTAAAATTACCATATGATTAATTCGGATTCAGCTAAGGCTGCAAGAAAGCTTGTATTTAAAATCTGTTTACCAAAAAGTCTGAAAGTGAAAAGGGAGAGAACAAAAGCAAGAAGACTAATGTTCACTAAACAAGGGCATATGTCTAAAAGAAAACTTTGTAACTGACTTTAAAAAAACAACAGAAAATTAATGTTTTAAACAGTAACCTGAAAGTGCAGGTTATAGAGCTCTACCATAATTATGTCTATTCTAAGTTCAAACATGGTTTCAGTTTGGTTGCTGATACTTCTTAGTAATGTTTTACATGATATAACTAACTCTGCAGTATTGTTTAGTCTCAAGTCAATTGCTTAAGCATATCTTCAACCTTTTATGCCTGGTTTTGAACTTCCCCATGAATTATTAAGCATATTCATTGTAATTTTGCAAATGACAGTAAACATAGACGTACAGCTTAATAGGCTGACCCAAATTAAAGGGATCAATTCATACACTCCTGAACTAACCCTGACTATAAATACAGTAGGAACTGATCACAGAAGGAATCCCTTAAGGAGAAAAAGGACAATGACTTCTGGACAGCACATTTTAATTTAACTCCAGAGATGGATTAGGGACGGATCTTCATAGTTACCATCCATATACAATTCTGTGCATTTCCCACCTGCAGTATTGCTGAACATTTGAATCAATGGCTGATTTGAGATTTTACTAACTTTCCTTGCAAGCTCTTAGTGAAGAAATACCTCCTTTAAAATGCAAAACTACTCTCTCTTATTTAGATTGTTACAGTAAGCATTTGAAAAAAAATCAGATATCTAGTGCCAGAGATGCAAACAAGAGGACAATAAAAAAAGATGATTTTAGGGTCAATGTTTTAGGAAGGAGAGTAGCCCCAGCTGCCGAAAAACATGCGGCAATTCCGACCACCATGCAGAGGGCACATATCTTTTGTATCAGAATCTAGCTGCTATGTATATGATAAATTGGAAGTTTCTCCTCCCTACACCTCTCCACAAAGACAAAAGGAACCACTTTCTTCCTTCCTCCGATCATTACTTTCTGACTGTTGGAAACCAGTTTCTCTTGCCTAACTTACCCTCCGCCCCAGCATCTTGGAGTCCTTCTCCCATTCTGCTGCTTATTGGTTTTCCAGTCAAATGAACGTAACTGACATGAGTAACACCAAAATGGGTCATAATAAGAGGGTGCTGAATAGCCCCAGTGCAACAGACACAAGACTTCCATTACCGCTTCCTAGGAATTTGTCTGGCTGCAGAGACAGGCAATACGACATTGCATCAGGTCACATTTGAAAGGTTTTCGTAACCACCATAAGAGCTTGTTAAGTTGGGTGCTCACACTTGCCAGAGAAAGCTTCCTAATCATTACTTCTATGGGGCTTTCTCAAACCCTGATGGGGCATACAAACTAGGGCCACACACACACTTCACATAAAGCACATGCACTTGCAATAATACATGCTGGGTAAAGGATGCAGTCACTTGAAGCCACACACTGGGCAGAGAAAAGCGCACTACAGAAAATATATCCTAGGCACTGGGCAGAGGGGAGTGCACTGAGGATAACAAATGCTGGGCACAGAAGCAGTCGGTGGAAGCCATGCACTGGGCAGCTGGGAGTGCATTGGGGATAACCCAGGCTGGGTACAAAGGCAGTCAGTGCAGGCCATACAGGGGGCAGAAGGGAGGGCGCTGGGGACAACCCAGGTTGGTGCAGTCACTGCAGGTCATGCCCTGAGGGTCCCCACTAGGCACTTGGTGCACACGGAAGGGACAATCCGGCACAGGGCGAGAGAAGGAGAGCGGCGCGCGGGGAGGAGCACGCGCCGGGAAAGGTGCGAGCCCCGGGGCCAGGTGCACGCGCTGGGCCCTCGGCACAGGGCACGCGCTACCTACGTGTCTCGGGATTTTGGTTTCTTCTCCGTTCGAACCCCGATACTTTTCCGTACGTCCCGCGCACAACAACTATCCAGCTACTGCGCGTGCTCGAAGGCAGGATCTCCGGCCACGCTCCCTGCTCATTGGACAAGGCCCCTGTGTGACTCCGCCCACTCTGTCTCCAGAGGCGCTCGCGCTCTCCCAACCTCGCTTCCGCCTGCGGCCCGCCAGGCTGAAAGAGACAAACCCCTGGCAGGGGCCATCTGCAAATTACCGGGCCGCTGCCTGTGTGCCGCTTGCAGGGGGAACAGCCATGCGAACCACCCCCGCCCAACGCACGCTGCTTTCCGGACGGGCAGGCTGCCCTCTCCTGAGCAGTGCTCCATTTCTCCCCCAGCTCTCTGCTCCATCCCCCCCGTCACCCTTTTGGGCTCTGCCACATACCCCTAGCCACATTCAACGCCCTGCCCCCAGCCGCCCTCACAGCATTGCTCCTCAGGGTTCTGCACCATTCCCCCACAGCATTGCCCTCCTCCCCCTCCCTAGCATTGCCTCTACCACCCCAGGGCTCTGCACCATCCGCCCCAGCCACCTCTCCAGCATTGCTTCCACCTCGGGGGTCTGTACCATTGGCCCCAGTCACCCCACCCCAGGGCTCTGTGCCATTCACACACGCACACACACCACCCCTTAACGCCAGCTCCACCCCAGGCCTTTGCACCACTCCTCACCAGTAACCCCCTCAGCATTCTGCCCTGTCGTTCCTGCCATAGGGCTCTGTGCTACTCCCCACTAGCCAATGCCCCAATCAGCCAGTCATCCGCACGCATCTGCCTAGCAGTCAGCATTCACACATTTCCTCCCAGCCACCACCTGTATTTCAGACTATCCTCTCCCAGCTATCCTTCACCTTTCCTGCACTCATTCATCCATCAGGCTGTGCTACACACACCCTCAGGTTCCTTATTCCATATCAGCCCCACCACACATTCTGGGCCAGGCTCTCATCAGCAACCTCTCTCAGCAACCTCCCACTTTTCCTGACAGCCAGCCACCCAAGCATCTCCTGTATGCCCAGGGCTTATATTCAGCTGGAGCTGTCTGGAGTGGAGCACATGTAAATTTCCTGGAGATTTTATAGCATGTTGAGACATGGGGGGCTCTGGAAAATACTCTATGAGAATTTAAGCCCTGCCCATCCCACACACTCATGGCAGCCATTCCTTGTCACCCTCCCTGCCTATCTCCCTCTTCCAGGCACCTTTCACAAGTTCTCTATCAGCCACACACACATTCCCTGCCAGCTACCCATTCAAATCCCCACATTCCTTGCTGTCCACCTTTCCCCCTCCTGGTCACACACCCCACTCCCTGCCAGCCGCCTATCATTTCTGCCAGCCACCTGTATATTCCCTTCTAGGCACACACACATACACTACATTTCCTTTCACGGATCCAACCACATCCTTCCTAGTCATTTCCCACAATACCTGCCACAGTTTCCTTCCTGTGACCCCACTCATTTCTCTCCCATCCATCCAACCCCAAATTCCTTGCCAACTGCTCATCATATTCCCTCAGTCTCCCATTTAGACAGCTCCTCATTCCCACCCAGCCAACCTCCCGTTTTGTGCTGACAGACACCCATCTAAATTCTGCTTCCCACCGATCCTTCCCTGAACTACCACCACACACACTGTTGCCCCCACCAATTGCACCTAAGCTCCCCTCCTACACGTTACCTGCCAAAACCCCATTCTCTTACCAGCCACCCTCCACCCATTTTCACTCACCATCCATTCTATGTACATTTCCATGATAGCTGCCTTGCCAGGAACCAGCCAAACTAGTGCCTCCTGCCATAGATCCCTACTAACCCGCAGGTCTTCTCCTGTTACTCCTTCTCATGTTACCACCCAAATCCTTCCACCCAATCCACCTTTTCCACAAGCCAATAGTCTGCACAAGAGTCCCCAACCCTTTCCCATGCCAGCCAAAATTAACCTTCTCCTGTCCCTTCTGTATTCCTATCAGCCCCCCCTTCGGCTGCCCACTCCTCTCTGCCAATATACCAGTGTATGGAAGGAACACAAGTTCTCAGCCAATAAGCACAAAAGTGCCTGATAAATACAACATCCAGGTCGGATCCTGCCATTGTTATGAATTGAAAACTCTTGATTACTCAGTCATTATGGTGCCCTCTGTGAAAGCCTTAAAACCCTCTAAGCTCTGTGCGTGACACAGCTTTATTAAGGTTAACATTGTGCTGCCTATAACCGATTATTCATTTATATAATTATTGTATTATTATGGATTGTCTTGATTTTGGTAATTACAAAACACTCTTTCTGGCTTTTCTACATAAATTACTAGAAGTGCACGAAACTTTTGTTCCCAACCTGAAAGTTATAAAAAAGTTCTGCTGTTGCTGCTACAGCTGGTGGGGTTATTGCTGTGAAAGCCTCTGTGGTGACTAGAAAGCTACTTTTACTCTTGGGTTTACAAGAATCTCTCTTTTTCCTTCTCTAAATTCCTGTCTAATTAAAAAAACAGTACATCATGGTTAAATAAAACTGTACCCAGGATAACCCTGATTTCCATATGCAGATTTATCTGCACTGACAGCCCCCTTTCCCTCTCTCAGTCTCTCTGTTTTCTCTCTCTTTCTCTCTCTACACTGTGTCTGTCTGGTTTTCAGGGCACCTTTATTTTTTTATTTCTCTCAAACGCACAGGCTCAAATATCCAGACAAAGATGCAAGGTGGTTGCTGCAGTCACTGTCTTTGGGAAAAAAGCTCATCATTGCAATGCCATTTTTTCACTCGGGCTCGGTGGTTAAACTTCCCCAGGATGGAGCTGGAAAAGGAGCTGGAAATAAACAGGATTGGGGGAGATCACATTGCTGCAGCTGCAGCCAGCGGTGGCCACTGCCAGACGTGACCGGGTTTCTGGGGTCCTTGACATTAAAAAGCAACGTGAGAAAATATTCGGAGACAAAAGCTGCAGCCTAAATGATAATTTTCTTTATTTAACATGGCAGCAGGCGCCGTGCGTGGGGAGGATCAACATGCTGCATGTTCAGTTGGACTTCTCTCCCTGGCTCCCTTCGAGGATGAAAGGAGATAATGTAATCTATCCTGTGCCAAATAGGGACCCGAGGTAAGAATCTTGTTTTAGTAATCACGTTTCCTGAACTTTCTTTTAAAACTGGATATATTTTAAATTTTAAACCAATAAGAGGCAAAAATGTGTTTTATCTGTGTTTAAAGAAACCCAGAAAAAAAGTTAATGTATAACATATTCGTAGTCCGTTTGGAAGGATTACTTTGTCAATTATTTCTGTGCTGTTTGTTCGATATTTGTTTCCAAAGCAGACTTCAGGAGTGACATCATGGTTTACAGCTGGTGCTAAAACTGATCTGCAAAGTCTTAAAACAACAACTTTGCAATAAGATATTGAGCTACAGATGCATGTGCTGTCTTTTTCGATTGCATCCCAAATACTAGAACTCTTATTAAAGTATAGTGGGTTTTTATTTTAACAGAGACGCAATGAATGCTGCATAATTAAGTATAGTATTTAATTTGGCTGTTGTGCAGCAAAAGAATAAGGTAATATTTTTTATTGTACTAATCAAACTCAAGATGTTCTCTGTGTTAATTGGGTTAAAAATTGCAGTACTTATTAGAAATTCTAATTTCACAATGCAGCACTGACAATAAGCTCAGCCAGTGAATTATTCACATCTTTAATTTGCTCACTTAATGACAGTGTTCTGTAATCAGAGTGCAGAGACTGCTTCCTATGCATTATGTATGATGTTCAGGACTTAAATGCAGGACATTATGAAGCTCTCAGTGGCTCAGTAATTAGTTTTCCACCAGACAGGACTTAGATATTCACAGATAAAAGTCTACCGTTGAGATAATGTTAAGGTTGTGACACATACTAACAAAAGCAGGGGAGTTCAAATTTAAGGCTGAAACTATGTTCCTTTCTCATCCATTGTGCTTAGGAGGCTTAAAAATAACACGTGATAGTATGTTACAATATGTGCAGCAATACTTAGGTTCAGGGGAGCAAGTTAAAAGAGTTAAGTTAAACTTCGAATTTCCTTGCTTTTGGCAGTTTGTGACTGACAGTTTTTCCCCATCATTTTTTTATATATAGTTTTTAAAATAAACTTTGTTGTGAAAAGGAGACAGTAATTTACACATCAGATAGCAACAATGCATAGGAGAACAGAGTGATTAAATATATTTTAATGATTTTATAGTTGATGTTGAACCCAGAAGTTTGCAACTAAATCAAGCTATTATGGTTTAACAAGTAACTGTTTTGTTATATGTACTAACTTTGAGAGCACTTACCAATTACCAGCATGGCTGCAGTGACATTTTTTTCAATCTTCAGAATCTATAGTATATTTATAGCATATTTTGGAATGCATGTTGATTTAGAAAACTGCATATTATTCACTTAAAAAATACCAACTCTAAAAGTGCTGTTGTGGCTCAGAGTGCCAATCCTCCCTTTCTGTATTGATCACTGACCTTGTATTATGTAAGACTCGGTGATTTAACTTAGGGGAGTATGCATGGTTACATCATATCCTTACATCTCACATTGCTGGTTGGTGATGATAAGGGAAGTTGAGAAAAAGTTAAGAATCACCATAACTTTTTTGTCATATTCAGGCACTGGTCAGGTTGGCCGCTGTGAATTTGTGCTAAAAGTGTCTTATGAAATTTTAATTGGAAAAAACTCACTGGGCACGTTTGTCGTTTTTAAAATCTCAGTATCTTATTTGGAGCTGAGAGTGTTGATTTTAACACTGATTAATATGTATTCCTGACTTCAGAGACAATACTCGGGAGAGTAAATTTACTTACATGCTTAAGTGTTTGCAAGTTGGGTGCTAGGATTTTTAATGATGACTACCAAGTTTAATATAGATATAAAAAACTATCAAAGATTTCAAATTAGTTCTCAGATATAGACAAAGTCTTAATAATTTTAAGTACATCTAGAATTTAAAACAAAATATTTGAAAATCAGATTCTTCTTTACTTTCTTGCCAAGCCCTAAGTTCAGAATTCAGTTTGTCCCTTCAACAGCTGATAGTAGGGTTCCCTGAATCATTTTAGGGTTTGATCCTGAAATAACCTAACAACTACCTAAGGCTACTGCGTATAGCAGACATAGATCTATTTGCTACAGCCAATAGTAGGCACTATGTCCCGGATCCACAAAGGAACTTAGGCACCTAAATCTGGGCTTTAGATGCCTAAAACTCAGTTTTAGTTTCCACTATAATCCATGTAACTCCCGCTGAAACCTGTAGGCCCATTCACTCACTCAGCACCTAAATTTTCAGAGTAAAAGTTCCCTTAGTGCCTAAGTTTCTGCTTCCGAGCATGCGCTCTGCTGCCTCACTCTTGGTTTCTGGAGTCCTTGGACCGGGGAGCTGGAGCCTGGGTCTTCTACCTCCCAGGGTGGGTGCCCTAACTACTTGACTATAGAGTCATTCTCTCTCTCCCTCTCTCATCCCTCTTCCTGGCCCAATGACTTTTAAAGTATTTATACACAGTGGAACAATTTCAACAGAAGAGAGTGAGGGAGCCTCACATCACAGTGTCCCATAGCTCAGTGGTTAGAGCACTCTGCTGAAAGATGGGTATTACCCATCTAAATTCTTTCTTGTGCTCTGCCTGAGGGGGAAATTGAATCCAGATCTCCCAGGTGAGTGCTCTAACCAGTGGGCTAAAATGGCATCATTTTGCATGGGATGTGGCAGGTGCTTAATTCATTCGTACAAGAAATGACTAAGCTGCCTGACTCCAGGAGAGGGGTTCCCAGTTGTGGATCACTAGCAGAGGTAGGTGCCTCCTAGGCTTAGCCACCTATCTTTGTGAGAGTGGTCAGGCTTAGGAACCACCGCTCTCCTTGGCATCTCCTATTAGCTAGTTTAAGCAGCTCCCCACCTAGTGTTCTGGCTTTTGTGGGTTGCATTCTAAATTATATAGGGAGTCTGGGCACTTAACTCAGCCTTTGTGGATCCCACTGTTTCACTGATTTTCTAGATGCCTAAAAGTTAGGTGTTGCAAGACCTAAATCTCTTTGTGGATCAGGACCTAAGTGTTTGCAGGATTGTGCCTTTTCCTTTCAACAGTTGCTGAGGAAACACAAAATCCTAACTGCAGAAATTGTGGGAAAATTCACCAGTTCTGCAGAAGAATAATTATATCAGAATAAAATCATTTTATTCCAGGGTAGAGTCACTGGTCAACTGACCAGTCTAGTTCTGCTGGTCAGTTTCTCCACGTAGACAAATTCTAAGTTTTAATTTAAAGAAAGTTAGTTTCCTAGACCTTGTCTTTTGAAGGAAAGCTTGGAAATGTGACCTGGCATAACTGATGCAGTGATGTTTGCCAGCTCAGGCATACACCCTGAAAGAGCTCTGAGTGATACTCAAGGCATCTCAATGTGATGTTAACCCAATGACCCACCCTACCAACAACACTCCAGCAGAGGACTCTATGTTGTAGATGCAGAAGAGTACAGTGGATCCATCCCACCCACCAGACATATGCACTCCAGCTGTGAGGTATATACTCGGGAGTGATAAGCCTGCTTCCACCCAGTCTCTCAGGAGGTTGAGGGGACCTCATGTACTCCTGAGGAGAGGGGGGCCTGATAATACTTCTGCAGAACACAATGGGGCTCTGTACCTATGTTCCTGCTTCTTTGGGAAGGGAGGACCCCAGGCCACCGGTCCCTCCAAGTGGGGGCAAAGTTGAGGGGGCATGTCATGTGTCTAGGGCCCAGGATTGCCTTAATCTGGCCTCTAGGACATGACAACTACATAAAGGACATTCAATAACATTTTAATACTAATGACAAGATCAGAAGATTGTAGTCATAATGCATTCAAATGGGTGATATTTTCTGATCTTGTTTATATTGCTCCAAGTTCAAGGAGCATTATGAGTAAAAATCTGTGAAGAGGAATGGTGGCTTATGCATCTCTGAAAGCCTTCTCTTAATTTGGGCCTGAAGCTTTTCATGTGCATAGATCCCGTTGAAACCAGAGAAATATTGCATGTAGCAGGACTATAAGGACTGAGCCTAATATAATTTCAGAAATTATATTCAAGTACATGTGCCAGAATGCCTCACTTCAGAATTATTGTTTTTGCTTGATAAGTTGAGAGTAAGGGGCAACTAAAAGGAACTAAAATATTCAGCGTGAAAAAGAAATTGAACATTGATGGTGATTTGTGTTCCAAAGAAATTGGATCTCCACCAAAAGGTACATGTGTATAGAACAATTATAATCAGGATACCTGGTGGAAATCACAGATGGGATCATATTTATGCTTCCCAATATTTTACTAGAGTTGTTTGGGAAAACAGAGTAAATAAATTCAAATATACAGTAAAATTCCATATAGTTAATTCAATATTTATTTAGATTTAAAATAGTGTCTATCCAAGCCGAAGACAGTGTGTACTTTAAAACACAACACTGATAAATATTCTTATTACAAATAACAAAGAATCATCGCCAAGTCAAGCAAGATTTAATAGACCATATGAGCTCAAACATAATGTGCCCATAAAAATATAAATCTATGAAATCTTTATGACTCTTATACATATTTTATAGTAGGCCAGAAAAAAACAGAGTAAGAATATTTAATAGCACACAAAAACTTTGTTAACTGAAGAGTCTGACTATGTCACCCCTCTCTTTGCATCCCTCCACTGGCTCCTTCTTCTTTGTCATATCAATTATGAGCTACCTGTCTTGATTTTCAAGGCCCTTAATAGCCTATCTCCACTCCTAGTACCTTCTGTCATTCACTATTGAGATGTTGATGCCCGGCTCCCATGATTCCAACCTCTCTTGTCCACTTGCTAAATTTTCAAACAAGCACCGTGTCCCCCTCTGCTTGGGAGGAGCGCTCCATAAAGATCCACAAATCTACCTCATTGTCTTCCTTCAAATCATTTGTTAAAACTTTCCTTTGCTAGGATACCTACAAAAAACTTGATAACAGTTAGGCTGCTGGTGTATTGAGATCACTGCATATCATGATGACCAATATTGTTGCATTGTTTCTTCGTATTACCCCATTTGTCTGTCAGTATCTGT